ATGAACGCATCATTAGATCTCTCGTTGACATTGTCTGCGAAAATATTCCACAAAAACATGAAATAAAAGTCACAGAAATTAATTTAAGTAATAATTTATTGGTTAAAGAAGTGGAAGAGTTTATTAAAAAATTCGTAATAATACCCATTCATATCGATTACAGTATATTTGTTAAGACAATCAATAGTGTGATTGAAGAGTACAAACATAACGTTATTGAATGGGATTTTAAGAGTTCATTAAATTTGAAATCAAATCATTTGATTATATTTCGAGATTCACAAGAATTATGGGAAACAGATTTGACAACTTTTATACAAGACTTGTATGACTCAATACAAACCAATGGATTCTTATTATCTGTATTTCGGTATAAGTTTACGGAACCGGAGATTTCAATCATGTCTTTGAATGAAAATTTGAAAATCAATTGCAATAATAAATCATTTGAAAAGCGAATAAACGATTTTATAAGCACCGCAAATAATATGAGATTTCATTTAATAAGTAGTAAATGCGATACAATTGCAACGAAAGCCTTATTGTTCAGAAAAATCACACCAATTGTCAAAATTCCACAAAATGACGAAATAATTATAATAAATACTGATTACAAGCAATGGTTTGATTTAATAAAAGCCAAATTTATTGAAAAGCGAGATAATAATCAAAACGATAGACATGTATGGCTTGTGGCGAATGACTCGTGTATTAACGGAATCATAGGTTTAATGAATTGTTTGCGATTAGAACCGGGAGGAGAGGTATTCCGCTATATCTTCCATATGGACACCAATACTGACACTAACATTGACTTTAATACTAAACCCTATTCCGAAATATTGGCCAACGATTTGTTCGCTAATATTATCAAAGGGGGAAAAGTGGGAACTTATCGACACTTAAAACTTCCCAAAGATTACGACAAATGCCTATCAAATGATTATTATCTAAATGTGAGACAATCACGTGATTTGTCTTCACTTCAATGGTTTGATTCTCGAAATATTGCTGACGTGAAAGAAAAATACTTAATTAATAATACAAAAACATTTCAAAATAAAGTACATGTTTATTACACGGGTGTAACTTTCAAGGATATCATGCATGCAACCGGTAATGTAACTTTAACTTGATGATTATTGTTTATATATTTTCAATGTCTATATTTATGTCTATATTAACCAAGGTCGTGTTCCAATGGGACCGGAAAAGCTATACCCCGATTGTTTATTTGGTTTTGAATACGTGGGCCGTAGGGCTGACACCGGGCAACGGGTAATGGGACTGGAGTTCGGGCGCATGTTTTGCACGTCAGCCAACGTAGCGAACAATTATATGACTGCTATTCCCGAGCACTGGTCAATGGCAGAGGCGGTGACTGTATTGACCACATATAGTACTGTACACTACGGGCTCATCAAAAGGGCAAATCTTAGAAAAGGTTTGTTTGATTATTAAAACACTATTTCTGTTATTTAATATCAATTTTTGTATAAAACAGGCGAAAGTGTTTTGATTCATTCGGCGGCGGGAGGTGTGGGTCAAACGGCTATCAATGTTTGTAAACACTATGAATGCGATATCTATGCGACGGTCGGCTCCGAAGAGAAGAAACAGTTTTTGATTAATGAATACAATATTCCGGAGAAACGGATATTCAGTTCAAGAGATATACTCTTCAAGAATGAGATAATGGATGCGACGGACGGACAGGGAGTGGATGTTGTGCTCAATTCACTGACGGGTGAGAAACTGAGGGCCGGTTTAGAGTGTCTGGCGATTAGCGGACGTTTCGTAGAGATAGGAAAGTATGACATGTTTTACAAGAATCAGTTGGCAATCAATGACTCCATTCGTGACATACAATTCATAAGAGTATTCTTGGATTACGTTATTATGAATGATATCCACTATTTGAACGAGTTTTACGATTGGATGCATAAGAACTGTACGAATGGTTGCGTAAAACCATTGAATTATACAGTGTTTGAGGCCAAGGATTGCGACAAAGCGTTTCGTTATATGACAAGCGGTGAACACATCGGGAAAGTCATTGTAAAGATGAGGGACGAGGAAAGTGAAAGAACTGCCCTTACATTCATTAAACCGGTTCCCAAACTATTAGTTTCGGTTAAGACTTATTTCAATGCAAACAAAGTCTATATAATAACCGGAGGTTTGGGTGGTTTTGGTCTGGAATTGATTCCATGGATGCAATCATTGGGCGCACGAAAATTTGTGGTCACTTCCA